GGCTCAGCAAATAGTGGGTGTGGAGGAATCTGAAAGCAGTTAAATGCTATGGGAGACCTGGTTTAAACTGTAGGAGAAAGGAGAGGATAGAAAAGGAGACTCTGGTAGCTAAGGAAGCAGGGAAGGGGGACCACCTTTGGGAGGAACAAAGGTGAGAAAGTGCATCCTGTGGCATGTCCAGGGTGATCTGATGTTTCTGGGCAGTCCTGGCCCTGGGGGCTCTCAGGGTAGCTGACTTAAACAACAGCTGGCATTCACAAAGAGAGGTCAAAATCAGGAAGTAAAATATTTCTAACCAGAATCATCCCCCCTCCTCCCCTTATCAGTAACAGCAAACATGAACTTGGAATATCACAGATCAGCTCAGCTTGAGTGAGAACTGGTGTGTGTCAGGTGCTCTGAATGCCCCCTGCCATGCGTGCATAAGCACCAATAAAACGCCAGTTTACGCGTGTGCAGCTCAAATGAGGGCAGACAAGGCTCCACCTTCTGTTTAAAATAGAGACAGATTGGAGAGAAGGGACATGATGGTTCAGAACTGATTTTAAAATATAAATAAATACTCCAGTGGGGACTCCAAGCCAACCCAGATGGGTGGGCCCTGCAGAGAGTCAGAAGCCCACATACCCAACCCCGTCATTCCCCCTCCACCCCACCTCTCCTATTCTCTGGGTCTATGGGAGGACAAGCTGTTCCCACTGAGCCTGCCAGGCTGCGCTTTAACCCTACAATCCATCCTAATCCTCCTCCGCTCCACCCCCTCCAGCTGCTCCCTCCTGAGCCTGGCATTGGGCCCACCAGTTTCAGCCCTGCCCTCAGCCTGCCCTGCCCTGCCCTGTCCAGGCCACCCTCTCCTGTCCCCAGGAAGAGCTGGGGTTGGCCCAGGGCATTCCAGAATGCAGTCACCTGCTACTCACATGCAGAGCCTGGGACTGAGGCTCAGAGCCTATCTATCCTCACCACTTAAGACTATTCCACACCTTTGCCCTCTTCTCTGGGGCCTGTTTCTGGAAGTAAAAGATCTGGGAACCCAGAATACCTGAGTCCTATTTGCCATTGAGGCTGCTGACTCATCTCCCCAAGCCCTGGGTTCCAGCTGTTCAGTGACAGGGAGATTATATAAGCCACGGTCACGTGATTTTTCCTGTTGGGTGGGACTTTGGACTTGACTGTTGCCCTACAGTGAGCTGGAGGAGGTTTACTTCAAAGAAAGCAAGTTAAGGATGGCAGGAGCTGCCTTAGAACACCTATGAACAGTGTGACCTTCTCCTCTGGTCCCTCGCCTGCTATTTACTCAGTCTCGCTGAATTGCATCCCTGCTGTCTTGTTTGTCCAGCTTGGCAGCCTGAGACCCTGAGGCTACTAGCACTCACTCAGCCACTCTCAGCAGACTGGACTTCCTGAGGGCTTGAGTCTGTGTTGACAGCATGAGACGGTCAACTCAGAGACCTCCAGCCTGAGGGCCATGGTGAGCACCAGTACTAGCTTCAGAGAAGGAAAGTACTGTTGGTTTGTGGTTTGCAGTAAAGAGTCAGCAAGACATGGATGTTTCATCCCTTGAAGAGCAGCCGTGGGATGAGACCTGGCAGGTGGCTTTGGTGCTGCCCTTAATCGTGCTTAGTTTCTCAATCGGTGCCCAGTCCCATTCACCCTGCCTCCTCTGCCACCCCCACTCCAGGATGTCTTCATGAGTTAATGTGGTGCTGGGGTGGAGCTCAGTAATGCAGAAGTTAATCCAAGCCTGGAAAAATGTTCCCTGCCTGTGGGGGAGTCGCTCCATTGACCATCAGCTGCAGAAATGAACATCATGTTCAGGGCCCCCTGCGCCCTCTCACCTCAATGCATACATAAAACTGGTGCGCTGGACAAGAGAGGGAAGTGTGTGGGCCTCTGGAATCCAGCTAATTCAGGTCAGACAGCCCTGGGGCTCAAAGGAAGCCTTAGCTTTTAGCCTGTTGGGGGTCCCCATAGAGCTTCCTATAGACCTTAGGTACAATGCACTGGCCCTCCATCACAAGGGCACTTGTGAGCCAAAGCCCTAATGACAAGGACTCCGAAGCTCTGCCCTTCTATCCCAGACTTCTACCAACTGCCAATTAGGCCACCAGTCTGTCTGTTCACAAAGATAATAGACAAGCCACTAGCCTCAAGGCACCTGCCTGGGTTTGAGCCATTATTCCAAACCCTGGACCCTCCTGTCCACCAGAGCCAAGGAATCAGGAGACTCAGTCCCTGCCCTTGCAGGGTTAATCCCAACTTTAATTTATTTATGCTCCATCTATACCAGGAAGGATTTGAGGTGGAGAAAATTACTTATCCTAGAGGGGAGTGCAAGTCCTAAGGAAAGGCAGGCACAGGCTACAGGAAAGGGCCTGCTCAGGTTAGCTGTGTGTCTCAGGTAGTGTCACGGGGCCACACCCAGATTCAGATCCTAGATGATGACTTCCTTGACCCACCCACTAAAAGAAGTGGCACTGAGGAGAAAGGGCCTCACAGGGGCTTGGCTGGCTGAGAAATGAGCCACAGTTCTCTCTGTTGTGTCCTAGAGCTGTCTGACCTGCTGGACAAGACATCACCCCTGTGTGAATTCCATCCCCCTACCCCAGGCTTCTCAAAGAGCACCTATGCAGGAACTTTCCTAGCTGGGCCTCCCTGCTGCTAGCAATGTCCGTGACCTGCATCCCAGGAAAAAGGGTGAGAGTGGGATGGTAGAACACCATGCTGTCCTGGGTTGGGATGCCCATGTGGCTGGCCCAAGTCTTGGGGAGACAGGCCAAATACTGTAGTAGCAAGTGAGCACCCACTGGACTTCAGCTCCACAGAACACTGATTCCATATGCAAAACCAGACTCATTCCACCCTCTGGGGCTCAGTGCAGTCTGGCAGGGCCCCCAACAGAGCTGAGCTCACCATTTACTAAGCACCCACTACGAGAGCCCATATCCCTTCCCTGTAGGTTTCGGTGTGATGGTCCAATCCACACACCCTATAGCACCTAAGAAGCCTTAGAGACAATTATAAAACAAAGATAAATATATTAAGATAAATTAATACAGTTAAACTGAGTGCTGAGAGTATGCAGTCATGGGGTGTTTGAAACTGGGTGGGGTTAAATAGCAAAGGCTTTGTGGCAAATGCAAGTTTTGAGCAGAGTTTATAAACCGGTAATTGGCAGAGAACAGGAAAGGCATTCTAGAATTCCCTAGTAGTTAAAGGTCTGGGTTCAAGTTCCCATACTGTCCTAGCACTCTGAGCAGGACACAAGTGACTTGTTTTGTGGTCCCAGCAGGTCATTTGACCTCTCAGGGCTCAAGGCCTTTAGGGCTTAATGTCCTTCACCTATAAAACAGAGGTAAGAGTTACTACGTCATTGTGTCATTATAGAAGTTAAGTGGGATAATATGTTTGTATGTAGCACTTAGCCATTGCCTGGCACTTAATAGGTACTTCACCATTGGCAGTTTGGTTTAAGTGGAAGAAGGCAAGTGCTGAAGCAGAGAAATATGAGTAGGCTGGCTGGCACCCGGATCAGAGAAGGTGGGTGATGCCAACGGAAGGAGCCCATGGACAGGCAGGGACACCTGAGGCTCGGGGATTGGATGCAAGAGTCAGGTGCTCTCAGTGTTTCAGGGCAGAAGAGTGATGAGCTCAAATACAGGCACAGCTTCCAGATAGGTGTGACTAGAAAGAAGGAAGTGTGGAGAAAGGGCTGGTTGTATTTTGTCCAGGTTACATGGGGGGGGGGACTGATTGTGGGGCTCACCCCTCCCAACAGACACCCCCGTCACCCTTTAGGGGGCCCTGCAGCTGCAGCGCTGCCCTTGTCACCCTCAGCACTGGTGCAACGCACGGGGCAAGGTTTGTGCTGCCCTCAAGAGTACACAGTTACATCTGTGGGTGGCCGAGGGTACAGTCGCGCATGTGTCCCAGACGCATCCCCAAGTGGCTGTGGTCGTGTGTGCAGTGCGCGTGTACATGTGGGGATGAGCATGCCAAGAGGAACAGAAGGAGGCCACAGATGAGTAACAGCACACGCTGCTGCCTCTGAGTATTTTTAAAAGCTAAAAATACTGGCTAAAAATAGCCTGCAGGCTCCAAACAAGACACTTTCTCTAGGCAGATTCTGTGTGGGTTCCTGATAGGTGAGGAGGTTGGCGCGTCAGAGAGATCAGGCTAAGACCTCAGAGCTGCAAGCACTGCGGGCAGTAGGGTCAGGGTACCCACTCCCCACCAGCGGGGCACCCTATTCTCCAACACTGGTGTTATTTCCTCCCCACTTCCACAAATCACTGTGTAAGATTCTGTGAGGAATGGTGCTGGGTAACTGGGTAGGAAAGGTCAGAAAACGTTCTTTCTTGAGGTCAAAATAGGACGGAGACCTATTGGACCTCATAAAACAGAGGCGCTGCCCTATGGATGGCGAGCCAAGCCGGGAGTGGGGGAGGCGGCGCGCCGTCGCGAGGCGGCGGCGTCTCCTCCCCTCACGGGCCGTGTGGACTTTGGGCTCCCGGAGGGCCTGCGTGCGCCCTGTGAGCGCCACAAAATTTGTTCGTGCGAAGGTGTATTTTTCCCTAAGAGAACACATAACTTTCATCGGGTTCTCGAAATGCTCTTCAGCCCCCAAAAGTGAGGACCTGGATCCTGCCCTGGGGGAGGCTCACCGGCTGACACCCGGTCCCGAGGACGTGTCCTCTGCGGGCCTCACGGACAGTCCCAACCCCGAGGTCGGTCCGTGGCTCCGCGCTCTGGTCCTGCGCGCCGCGGGGACTGC